CCCCCCCCCCCCCCCCCCCCGCCGCATACAAACGATATACAGGTTATCATATACCACACTAAATCCTAGTTGAAACGCCATAAACGGTAGATAACCCCCCCCGGATCTGGTCCTTCATCCAGTTTGTGGCAGTACGTCCGTAGTTCGACTCCCCGAGCCCTCTTGAATGCATGCATGCTCATCTGCCATTTTTCTCGACCCAGCACAAAAAGTTTTAAAAACCATTTTTTTTCTCTGCGCTTTTTGTATGCAAACATTTCTACCCTCTGCTACTGTGCCAGTTCAAATGAAAAATAAAAACCACGTGTGCTAGAATGGTGGTGTTACGTCCTGTATTTGGTTTCGGGGAGGACAAAAATACCTAATGGTGTTTTCTCTCCCTCCCTCCGGAGTCGTTTTCGTGTGTTCTCCCCCCGCGAGATTTTGACTTCGACATATTGATCGACAGGTTATTTTCATGCACGCGCTCTCTCACAGAGAGGCCTGGTCTTGCTTACTTGTGCCCCCCTCAACTCGCCACCCCCCCTCGGCCGCCATCGTCCCGTCTTATCACCGACACTGGGGGCCTGAAACTACCGCGTGCAACCTGCATCTCGACCGATCGTAGCGTCGGGTTTTGCTGGGACCTCGATATGGGTAAGGACGTACCTCCATGCCGCCATGCTAATGAGCGTGTCGTACGAGTGTTTTGCGCAGACTGTCTGTTGCCTCCTCAGTTATTGCAACTTGCGAAGTAATTTTCAGAAAAAATGTAAACGCGTCTCGTGATGTTTTACCACAGCAAGAAGCGATCAATCCCACAACTTGAAAGGCCTGCCCGACGTTCGTCTGCCCCGGGGGGCACGCGTCTGGCGCAAGGCCAATCGCTGCTCCCTCAGGTGGATGGTCTACGGACTACCGAATACGTTTAATAGAACACACACCCCAACACCACCACATCGGTGACCGGTCCTCTGGCAAAATGCTCCGTCCTCCCGAGGACGCATGGTCTATTATCCAACGGAAAAGACATGCAAAACATTGGCACGCTCCCCCCCATCCCGGAAGAAGGGAGAAAGCGCCTCTTCATGTCGATATTTTCGCCGCCTCATACCTCATGAGCGAAGTCCATGGTACTGTCGTTACTGCGCTCACAACGTCAACAAGCGTTAACATTTGCCCTACATCTCGTGTGCTGGTGTTCGTGGGGTGCTGATGTTCGCAGGAGTGGGGCTAAATGCAGTTGGTGAACTCGTCTATGGAATCCTGGCGTTCGCGTCCATCGGTCATCGTCTTGCAGCGGACACGTCAACGGTGGTAGTCCAGGAAAAAGAGGAGGAGGTGAGGTTGTTTTTTCGTATATTTGTCCCGCTACCTGTTGTTCACGATCCACCGCCCTCGTGCATCTTTTCTTCGTGGAGTTGGACGCAGCTTCTCGTCCCATACAAGACGCAGTGTTCACCAGTACCCACCTTCTCCTGCCGTCGTGACAGGAATGAACCATTTGTGCCGTTTTTTCGTCGCGCTGATTGGTCACACATCATCCCAAGTTGTATGCGGGCATGCAAACAAAGGTAGCACGAGTGTCCCGAAAACAACATGTAGTAGGTGGAACGCGCCTATCGCCAGGTTCTGCGTGCGCCAAGGAAGATAATCCTGCGCGATACCATTAGTACAGCAGAAGTTTTCTCCCTCCCTCTCCCTCTCCCTCTCCTTCCCTCTCTCTCTTTCTTTTTCTCTCTCTCTCTCACCCCACCTGTATTTTCTCCCTTTTTCTCGCTCGCTCATGCTTCTTCAAAGTAGTTGGTTGCCGGCGCGAATCACACTCGTCCCGGCGACGTTCCTGCTTTCAACCAGATGTCCTGGTGGATCGGTCACAGTCAGCGAGAGAAGTCCAATCTCTGTAATATTACATGCACTTGGCGAGGCGAAGAGGTACCGCTACTGGCTTTCTCCTACGACTTGCAATCCGGGGAGGAGCCTTGGGTGCTCGAAGTCTGTTTAACGGTTTCCCTTCTTGCTTGGATTGCAGTTTGCGAGGGACTGCGAAGGGCTTGAGCAAATGCCCTACAAGTGCGAGCGTCTCATCGGCAGCATTCTGGAACTCACCCTGGCGAACGACACCTTGGTGCCCAACGTCCTGGCAGGTGAAGTGGTGCCTGCAGACGTCAAGTACGGATCATCGGGGTTCAGTGTCTTCTCTTTGGGCCGAAGAACCAGCCTACGTGTGTATCAGTATACTTCTTCTATGTATGCCGTAGGTAATTCTCACCATTATTTTGTCGTTTTTATTTTCTTGGCCCTTCCGGATCCCGCCAGTTTTCTCAGTTGTTCACGTTTCTATGCGTACTATTTACCTTGGTTGCTTCCGATATTACACGTGTTATTGCCTTGACTGACGTTTCGGACCCTCGTTGTAGTACTGTAGTAGCTGCCATATTTGAGTACGTGCGTAGGGGCGAAGGAAACACTACACAACGCGTTTCAATACACTACACATATTCCAACACACTTGTGCGGGGGGGGCACACCCAAGAATATAAACCCTTTGGAAACCTTGTGGCAGGCTCGGCAATACACAACGACGCGTTTACTAGCACATTTTACCGATGCTGCGTGCGGCGCCATGGCAAGGGAGGCTGAGGCCGAGTAGAAATGGCGGCAGTTCGTTTTGGCAAGGGTGCTGCTCCGACAAAGCACGTGAGAGAAGATACGAGCGCGCATGACGACAACAAAAGTTGAGATTTGGCGATATCAGCAACGTGGTTGTCGAAGTCACGTTTGTTTTCCCTCCCACCGCTTTGCTCCAACAATTCTGTTTGATTTTGTGCGGGCACCGATTGACTCATGACCTCTGGGCATGACGAGAAGCTGCCGTTTTGCTCATGCTCGGCTGGCTCGGGCTCCGGGCCTGGTGGTGTTTCGACGCACGCGCGGCGAAATTCAACCTCTGGCTCCGTCCGTTGATGTTCCTGATGTCGGCGGTGGTCATGGCGATACGAGTAACGAAGGAGATGAGCTACGGCAGGCACCCAGTGTGGGACCTCTATGTATTTTGGCTGCTCTTGATGGTGTTATCCATGATGTACTCGTCTAAGGTGCGGGGCATGGTAGCACTTGGACGGCGCACTCGTTCCAGACATGTTGAAAGAAAGTCAATTGTTTTGATACTTGATGGTGACGGCAGGCAGCCGTAGCCGACAAGCGGAATGCCATCACATTGGTGACAGACAACCCCGAAACCTAGACCGGTGTTGTCGACTTCTTTTCCTGATCAACTTGTGGTTTGTCGGCGACGTCGACATTACACCGTTCGCGCCGGCTTTCGTTGGTATGCAAACCTTGTTGTTCATTTGCTTGTTTCATACGTTGATTGTCTCTATCCTGGGGTAGCGTGTGTGTGGCTGTCCTCCGCAGGTTTGGTCATTCTTGGCCGCTGAGGTAGTTCCACATCAACAGCAGAGCAGAAAGGCTTGGCACACGCCTTTCAATTTTCGTGTGTGCGTTTGTCCAAGGTCGACCGTTTGTCGCAGCCGTAAAGGCGATAGCCATATTCCGACGGATTCATTGTTCACAACTGTAACGGTTGTTGACTCTTACGTTCGTGCAGTTTTTCTACACACTACAGTACGCGGCGTTTTTCAAGCCGTCTTTCGGTGCTGCCTTCCTCTTCGGTTGCTTCTCTCTCGTGTGTGGCAGGTCATGTGGTCTTACCACATATTCTTGCTGAAGAAGACCTCACGCGCCACACGGGAGGCGGGCATGGTCGAACTTGACGCGACGTCCCCGACCGTTTGACGGCAACACCAAGGGTACCAACCAAGATCGCGCCAGCCAGCGTTTCGCAATGTGCTCGGGATTGCATGTGGATGAAAACCACAGCATTAGCCCCCCTTTTGGCGCTAGCGAGCCCATGTTCCTTCGCCATTGGTTGGCTTGTTTGCACTCCCTGCGAGGATAACCGCGGATTGCGAGCAATCGAAACGCGAACACTCTGGTCGGCGTTGCCTGACTAAAACTTCGTCGGTGTTGCGCGGCCGCTAGATGCGCATGTACATAGTACGAGGTTGGGTCACAACGCGACGGAAGCCTGCGTGAAGCTAGAACAAGGGTGGACGAGTTTTTGGGGTAGAAGCAAACGTTGCGCGACACGCGAGACTCTGTCTTCTAGACTTAAAAATAATGTTGAGTCGAGTCTACTGTAACAGGGACGGGGGCCGGGGCCTGGTGTACTTCGTTCAGCGATCACTCGGGATTGGTCTCCAGTGATTCGCCGCCTGCTTCCACAGAATGTGCCGTTGAAGCGTTCACCGTTCAACACCAATATGAGGGATGGTACCATGAAACAGCCAAGGATAACAACACGACAAATAAATGAAGGGAATGCATCACACTCCCCGCGCACACCGTGGGCATGGTGACGGCAAACGGGCACTTCATCAAATGATCAGCCTGGAGCCAAGCGGACGCCCAAACGCGCTGCGTGGGTGGATTCAGGGATGATGCATGAACTAGCTCCTCCCGCCCGCACTCACCGGGGGCTTCCCACGCACCCCACGTATGGCGTTCAACTACGGGAGTATCACAACAAATTCCCACTGCAAGAGGCGGTTATATTTTTTCGCATTGCCAAATCATCAGCCATCTTTCAACTTACGCAGGGCCAGGGGACTACTTGGACGCACCGAATGGCTGTAAAGGAAGCAATACGATCAGAGGGTTTGTCTATCTACCTTGCGGCTCTCTTTTGCACAACATCTAACCCCCGCCACGATAACTTCGTAGTCGGCACAACAGCAGTGGCGCAACCAAAGGCACGACCTTTCAACACGAAAAGAATGCAGTCTCCAAAAGCTCTAATTCATTCCCCAAGCATATTGAATGACAGACATACAGCAACTCAGACCAAGCTCATTTTTACTCCGAGTGTCGACGGAAACCGATACCCAATCGATCCCCCAATTCCTGGGCGTGGGCACCTCAGCCAGAGCAGCAAGCAACCCACGAAAAGAACGGGCCATCAAGCAAGGTCAACCAGCCGAGCCGAGCACATCTCTGCAACCCCCCGCCGCCAACAATAAGGCCGCGATGTGAAAAAATCAAAATCGAGTTCTGGTTGGTGGACAGTAAGAAGACAAACAAATCAAAAGTCACAATGTTTTTCTTTCGTCTTTCCTGGCCAAACGGAGCCAATTTTGACTATGTTGATTTTGATCTCGGGAGCTTCGTCTACACACGCAGCCCAACAGCCTGTTTCCAAGACAACAGCATCCAACGTGAGGGACTTACTTGGGATCTCAACCGACTTACAAGCAGTCCTGGGACCGTTTCCTTCGCACGCGCTTGCCGCCACTTATGTATACAACGTTCACCACTACCACTACTTGGTCCTTCCCTACACTACAAACGACTTTTCGATGCAAGCAAAAAACAAAAGTAAGTACCACCGTCTTCGCAAACCCGCCACCACCGCCGCCGAGTTCCTTCCCGTATTACGAGGAACGAAATGCTCGATTCGAGTCAACAAAAACTATCACCACCGTCTTCGCAGCCCCCCCCCGCCGCCACCGCCACCTCCGCGCCTGCCGTCACCATCGCCGCCTCCTCCCTCGGCCCACGGTTCGGGCTCGTCCTCCTCGTCGGGCCATCTGGTGTCCACCTTAGTCGCCACTTGCGTCTCTCTCATCGGCTCGGCCTCCGGTTCCAGCTGGCGGGGGGTGTAACCGAAGCGAGTTTTTTTTTCGATTGGTCGACCGATCCGATTCCATGTGAAATCGTTTCGGTATGATTCGATGTCGATATCCATGTCGATTCCATTCGACCGAATGGTCGGAAAGGACACAGAGAGAGACAGAGATAGAGACACACAGAGATAGATAGATAGATAGATAGATAGATAGAGAGAGAGAGAGAGAGAGAGAGAGAGAGAGAGAGAGAGAGAGAGAGAGAGAGAGAGAGAGAGGGACAGAGACAGACAGACAGACAGACAGACAGACAGACAGACAGACAGACAGACAGACAGACAGACAGACAGTAAGAGAGAGCGGTTTTATTCACAGCAGCACGCAGACAGCAAACGAACGAGCACCGGGGTCGAGAGGGGTCAAAAAAGGGCGTGGAAAAAAAAGAGAAGCATTGCGTGCACCCTGTTGGGGAAAGTGCGGTGTGTGTAACCGTTGAAAAACTTGACATCAATTGATGGCAGTCTTCTGCGCGCGTGTGCTTTCCGAAAGAGGGGATACGCTACAACCCACAGACAACAACCCTTGTGCCAAAAATGTTGTCCGCCTTGAAAACAAAAAGGCCAAGACGTACCTAACATTGGGCTACGGCGGGTGGCTGCCGTTGCCCTTTGATACAGCCACACCAAGCCAACATCGCCATGAAAACTCCGTTTTGGCTCACTCCTCAGCACCACAAAGCCACGGGTACCACGACAACCACTCCCGTCTCCGCTAGTCTACCGTGCCACACCTTTCCTCCCTCCACCCCTATCTCCTGTGCTTCCCGCTACACGCTCTCCGGGAACCTACTTCTGCCCCCCCTCCCCATAAACATGTCGCAGCCTTCGTCCCGCCCCTTCTTCTCTCACCTCCAGCTGCAACATGCCGGGCTCGAAGTCCCTGTCGGCGAAGATCTGCCGGAAATTGAGCACGTTCATGTCGTCGAACGATTCCACGCTCAGGTCCGACAGCCGCAGTTCCCACGCCGCCATGACCCCTGCAGACCCAGACGAAAGACGCAAGGGGCAGATCGACATGATCACTCCCAGACAAAATCAACTGTTCCTACAAGGGATTACAAAGGGGACAACCCAACCCCCCCCCCCCAAAAAAAAAGAACGCCAGAAATGCACACGAAGACCAATCCAGTCGCATACATGCAGGCAAAAAAAAATCATCACAAGCGAACTCGAATCGATTCACTGATGGCTAGCAGCCTACAACCAGCGGTGGTCGTAGTCCTCGATTGATTTTCGCACATCGAAAGTAGGCGAATAAAGCCCCTTGTAGTAGGTGGTTGACGCGTGATGCTGCGTGCATTCGTCCATAACAAACAAAGTCGGCGCAAGCCAGGTTTTCATGATGGTCACTGTTTGCCAGCAGTGTTACTATGCCAAACAAAGAAGGGGTACACTATTTTCTCTTTACCACGCTTATGTTTAAGCGGTAGGGGGCACCCCGAACATCCTCTCCCATTTGACACACTCCCCCGAGAGAAAACCCCTGTTGAACGCCTACGAGACAGGGGCGGGGTGCACTCATCGCCGTGCACGCCGTAGCCGTCAGACCATTGACCTCGCATCCCCACAAAGCCGGGACCGAGCACTTCACTACACGAGGCAAGCACATCGCCAAGCGCGAAGCGCCGTGAGATGAGATCCGGCGAGCCACACGGAGGGTGCGCCGCATCCTGCTAAAGGTTCTTCGAGGCGGGGGCGGAGGAGGGGGACAAACACTCACCTATGCGGCAGACGCCCCTGAGGTCCGCATCGTGAGCCTTGATCATGCCCTCCTGCCGGCAGTCGAACGCGCAGCACTTCATCGTCGATCTCTGGATCTTGAGCGCCGCCTGTAGCATCGGGTAAGACAAAATTCGCCGCATCGCGAGTTAGGGTCAAGATAGCACTCACTCTAGCGCGCCACGGCCAGGAAAACACGAAAAAAAATGCGGGAATAACCCTGCCGCGGGTACGAAAAACACGTTGCCGAGAGCTGTGAATGTACGACAACGCGCCGTACCCGCATCGTTGGTGCGCTGCTAGTCGGCACCTTGGACGAACCTTCTTGATCGATCATACCCTTAAGACTACGGGCATGGAATGAGCAAGATGATAGGTGCTGGAACTTTTGTTTTGGATTCAATAAAAGTGGAAGCAACCGGAGCGGCGAATCTAAGTCCTGTATCCACCGCACACATCGATCTCCCTCCCGCCGTCCCCCGCCGACGTCACGCGCGTGCCGAGGTCTTTCACGATGGCCGCAGGCATATCCATCCTTACACCTCCGACCGACCGCTCCCCCTTCTGAGCCCATCATCCGTACCATCATCGCAACCAACACACCAAACGCTTTGCCGTGTGGGCAAAAAAATGCAACCCGTTGTCTACAAAAAGTTCATGAACGCCTCCTTCGTTTCCTTACAACATGCAGTATACATCAGTGAAAGAACAAACACTCAATCTCAATCCCCCCGTCAAGGGTAGGCGGTTTGCCGCTGTTGGAATGTGACGTTACAGGACGACGACCACCGTCTTTCTTGCCGCTGCTGCCCCCGTCGTCAATAATTTCGAAGGGTGTGTTCTGTACGGTCTGTACGTTTCTGTAGGGTATCGCAAGTGTTCACGGAACTCACAGAATTTTTCGGGTACCAGGTAGGTAAAAAAAAAAAAACAGAAAAAAAGTCGTGTTTGTGAGAAGGTCGCACAGAACTCACGGAACGCTTCGGGTAGGCGCAAAAAAGCGTCAACACAAACCGGGTTTCTTTGCAAATTTCGCGGCGGCGGCGGCGGCGGCGGCTCGTGCTCACCAGCATGTATCCCCGGTAATCGTCGTAAGGCTCGTCCTCGGCGGTAACCCTGTGCTGGTCCTCGAAGTAGCCGGACAGTTCCGTCTTCTCGAGGACCGCGTCGACGATGGCGCTAGGGAGCCGAGACAGCACCTGGGCACGTGCGAGACGGACAGCAAAAACGGGGATGGTGGTGAGGGTGTGTGTGTGTGGGGGTCCATGATAAACAGGGGGGTCTCCCACGTCAAAAAGAGGGCGGGTGCGCGTGAGGATTTCGAACCAAAGGAAGGACGAAGGTGTTGAAAGGGGTGTGTGGAGGGAGGGTGGGTTCGACCGTCCGAAACGAGAACATCGTCCAGGTTCCCGCCTACACCGCTCATCATCTGGTACGCGCGCGAGGGCAAAGAGCCCCCCCGGCAGGGTATGTGCCGCACAGCGAGTGTGCTGACAAGCAGTTCACCCCCCCCCCCCCCAAATACAAAATGAACAAGTAGAACACAGGCGCCTCATCCACACAACGACCAACGGGATAAAAATTTAGGTACTGAACGATATGACGATGTTTTCGCGGCTAACGGGCAGAGGACATCGTGAAACGAACGTGACGAATGCCCGCCGTACACATGTATTCGGAAACTGTGTCTCACGACGCCAACGAGACCCGCGCGGGGAAGACGACGATGATCTAAACGACAGATTGTCCAGGAGCAGCCGCAAAAAGTAAACGTGAAAATTCATTTCTCGAAATTGACATGATGTAGCAGCAAAAAGTATGATAAAAACATCAACCGTCATAGGCATGATAGCCGCAAAACAAGAGATGGACGTTCACTAACCGCCATTGGCATCGGTATTCTCCTCAGCGTCTCCAGCCATCGCCTGCTTCCGCGCGTCTCCTGGATGAAAAAAACAACGGGAGGCAAAAAGCAACAACAGGGGAAAGAAACGAGAGACACAAGCACGTGTTAAACGTCCATCGCGAAAAAGTATCAGTGCATGGGAATCAGTCCGAGAAAAGGTTCGTGGCCCCTTGGCTTCGATTGTGGTTTCTGCTACAATACATGGTAAACTAGACCAAAACCACCAAGAACAAAAACTAGAGGGCCTTCGGCCCGAGAGAGGAAAGAGAAGGCACGTCAGCACCGACAACAACCTTAACTACGGCACGTCCGCCTTGAAAACAAAAACCCCATCGCAAAGTGCAGTCCTGGAATGAATAGAGAATTCAAGGCACGGTGAAAATCTATCCCCGCACGGGGGCACGCAAGCCATGTATCTGCTCGCTTCTTTAGACACGCTACTGCCGCCAAAGGCGGCGCTTCAGGTCGATGGAACATCAACCGAAGAGCGCGACAGCAGTGCTATTGGTCACTCACTCATTCACTCATTCTCTCACTCTTTGACTCGCGCACTCACCGTTGGCTGGTACTTGAGGGCTTGCCGGAGGATCTGGACAAGAAGCGGAGGCCGACCCAACCGTAATTTTCGGATTGCGGAAAGCCGGGTGGGGGCGGCGGCGGGAAGGAAACGGGGCAAAATTAGGTTGAAGCCGAAACGACAACCAACGTGTACGCTTCCTCCTTTCGTCTCGCGTCATCGGGAACAAACCACTTGGCATTTCCGAACGGACGTCCTAGATTGATGATTGCTAAGCATAGGAATGCTTGACAATGTTGGTTGTGAGGCCAGAACGCCCACCCTACTCCCAACTTGCTCAAAAACCCCCAACTACTCGAGTACCTACGCCAGCAGGGAGGGTCTCGCAACCGCTCTGGGTGCCATCGGGCAAACAAAGGGCATGTGGTGCCACTCCCACGAGCACTTCGCACTTCCGGGAGTCTTGAGCGCACTCCCAGACCAAACCCGCGGCTTGTTAAAGCCGATAGCGCGAGACGACATCAAGCAGCTACTGCCTGTGACTGCCTGCACCCGCAAACATCACACACGTCTCGAACTACGGGGTCGATATCGTATGCCGTTACCGTTGAGCGCAAAATCGTCAATATTCTTTACGGGCAAAACGAAAAGAACGTGCAGCAGCAGCCGCAGCAGCGGCTCAGATCGACCAACGACCCCAAGTGCAAGTTTCTCCGTACCGTCCTTTCGTAGATCTCCAGCCCCCCCTCCAGCTCCTCCTGTGTGAGCCTCCAGTTGAACTCCCGCAGGAACATCTGCTCCGGCGTCCAGCCGTAGCCCCGCTCCACCGTGTGCAGAGTGGGGGCGTTCTGGTTAAGAGCTCGCGCCACCTAACGAGCGTAAAGGGAGGAGGAGGAGGAGGAGGAGGAGGAGGAGGAGGAGGAGGGGGCCCCGGTGGATGATGCGGAACACGGGGGCTAGCAGGGGAGTGGGCACGCACCATCTTGAGTGTGTACCGTGTGTCGGGTAGACAAGAGTGCAATCGATATCCGCTTGAAGTTGTTCGGGGCTGGGATGATTACGCGCAACTGCTGCGTGTTTCTTCTCCCGGCTGTGTGTGTGTGTGTGTGTGTGTGTGTGTTTCGTTCTGATGGAAAATAACGTTGGCATTCAGTTTGATTGGTTAAGGGTAACAACCAGCCAGTTAGCGCGTTAAATCAAGGCTGGCAGGAGCGGGCCCCCCTGCTGACGGTGACCTTCGTTAGGGAAGAAACAACATGTTCTAGCGCAGGACGCGACGCAACTCCGTGTAGGAGCAACCCAATGCACACCTGCCTGACACGCGCCCGGAAAAAAGGCGCCTGGACGCATCTTGGAACAACTGAAAGCCGCAACACACTGCAACACCTCCACCGGCGCCAACAAGAGCACTTTCGATGTAAGGTATGGTTGGTCAGGTTCCTTCGACACTCCCAAGACTCGCAATAGCCCGGAGTTCAGCAGGTGTCATCCAGACCTCGCTACATGTATGGAAATTCCAACAAATGTCACGTGAGAATTGTCTCAAACGAGTGGTTTCTTCTATTGTGTCATTAGTTTTCCAACAACAAAAAAAATACCACGTGAGCAGCGCAGGATAGATGGAACAGGAGGCGACAATCACCAGGACATCAGGCTAGAATCAGTGTACAACAAAATGTCAACAACAATGACAAGTTTCTAACGGCACAAAACACGCCATGCTTGGCGGCGGAAACCCAAAATCACCTCTAGCCATGCTGGGTAAATGAGGCCCGGTATAACGTCTACCAGCGTGTCCAGCTGGAACACTGCCCCGTACGACGAGTCGGGGTTGGTGTGGTACTGGTGCCGCTGGATGTTGTTGGGGTCCATGATCTCGTTGATCCTGCAACGGTGTCGTCGTATCCGCGACCGACACCCGGCAAGACCCATTTATGGCAACCCACCCACGCACGCGTTGACCGGCGAGAAGAGCGTGGCAAGAGGGCAGTGGGGTCGAGTCAACGGGAGACGCTAGGTACTAGGGCGTTGAACGGCGGTCAAAACAGGGCATTGAGACGATTCTTCCACTATATAGTCAATCCGCCAACAGCACGGTCCGCACATGAAGCGTGTGAGCACGACGACGCAAGGGCGCTCAGAGAAGCAAGTGCGGCCGAGGAAACCGTACAAAGGCCAATCTGCACCCAAGCCCCCATTTGTTCATGTGTCATACTCTCCATTGTTGCTCGGGACACATACTTCCATGAGCTCTGCCCCGCTCTACGCCCCCCGCCCCCCCCCCGCATCTAAGAAAATCCACACAAAATAAAAATCGAGATTCAAATGGTGCACGGGTGTGAGCAAACGCACGAGCACCATAATTGCGGCCAGCGTGTATCGAAACTATCTTTCCGTCTAGGATCACGGAACATGCTGAATCCTCACATTCCGCCTCGATTTTCTAGCCCAAAACTGCCGTCATCTCGGGTGAGACACCCCGGCGAGAGATGGAGGCAGCAGGGTCGAAAGTAACGGTGCCTTGCCCGACGCAAACAGTTTGCGCCGGCACATAACAACTTGGACGTAAAACAATGAGCCTGGTAAAAGGAACCTAGACTATAACCTACAAACGGCCATATGTAGCACAGTCCTGTAGGAACTAAGAACCCCAGCAATCTGCCAAAACTACAGTATCTTGGGTGAGGGCGCAAACTGTAGGTCTGTTGCGCCGACACTATGAAAATAAACACCTCACCTTCCGGGGGTCAGGAATGGGTCCTTGATGAGTTCCTCCACTCTCATCTTCTTCCAGTTGTCGTGGTGCGAGCTGTCGTTCTCGTCCTCGGTCGGCTCCGCCGCGGGGTGCCACCCCCCCGTCACTACCCCCGTCCCGCGCACACGCCCACCGTCTAGACCGCCGACGGCGAAGCCGCCGCCGCCGCCGCTACCGCTTCTGCCGCTGATTCCACCCAACCCTGGAGCCCATACTGCGCCAGGACGACCACGCCCTACCCATGCGGACTCCGGGAAAACAACGCCCCCTCCTATCCCGTTCACGGAACTCCCCGTGATTTTTTGTTCGAGGCTTTCCATGCTACCGCCGCCGCCGCCCGTCCAGCTTACAGTGGTAGGGTTGCTCTCACTGCTGCCGGTGCCAATACCGATACCGATGTTGGTGCCGCCAACGCTAAGCACCCCACCTTCTGCTGCACTGCCGCCGCCGCGTTCGCCGATGCTTGTCGGGCGGCGGCGACGCCGTCGGCGAACGGAGGAGTGAGACGGAGAGACTGCGGTCGAGTCTCCTCCTATGGCGGCGCCAGTGGCCGATGGTGTCCGCACCGGAGCCGCGGCGAGCTTCATCGACAAGGTCTGGTCGACATGAAAAAACGTGTAGGGGAAAAATAGGGTGGGTGTACTCTCATTTTGCCATGCATTGCAGTCGTGATGTATTGGGAGGTGTAGGGGCAACGCGTACGTGTACTATACTCTCATTATCATGCATTGCAGTTGTTGCGTTCTGGGGTGAGTACACCTCGCATCTCGTCCCTTCTGCGGCCTGAAGGCAACGACTTTCTTGCGGCGTTTCGACATCAGCCGCGATCTGCTGCAGTGGATATAGGTCGTGGGGGGAGGGGGTAGCACAGCGGGCTGGTGTTCGCATCCGCTTTTGGTTGTCTCGAGCACCTTGCTTGCTTCGAAGCAAAACATCAATCGACCATAAAACTCAAAAGGCGGCTGTGTTGAGCAGGTGCTGTACACCCCTCTGGCGGTTACGCCTCTTTCCAAGCTGGCCGGCACTACTGCAGTCGTGTTGCATAGGCAGCGTCCAAGCAGCGCACGGTCTGAGCGACGATGAGAACCAGATTGTGGTGGGTACAAAAGCTTGAGCCTGCCGCATGCATGTCTCCACGGCAAGCACCCAAGAGGGCATACGCAAACAAGAACTGCTGTTTGGCGTCTCGAGGAGAGAGTCAGAGCAAGAAAAAAGCGGCCGCGTACCAAACACCGGACAGGCATTAAGTCTGACGCCATTCAGCAGGCCTGACGCCATCGTCGGCGTAAGGCATATTGGGCAGAAGTATGGGATCTTCTCTCGCTGCTAATTTACTATGAGAGGAACGACCGGGGGTAAGGTGTAAGGTATGCTTGCCCTCAAACATGCCGCGTACTCCGTATGTCCTGGTCGCTGGAACAAGCCAACACAGCAGGCTGAACATGATACTGCTCCCGGAGTGTTTGGAAGCTCCGACGCACATGGACCGCCCACCCACCTGAACCCGGTGCTTCGCTGCAACTTCACGGCCTCCCCCGGCGCCAAACCTACTTGTGGGCTTCGCGACCGCTCCAAACGCCAGCAAGCAATTCGTGTTGATGCCCCTGCTGCTGCTGCTGTAGAAAGGCGGAGTGCAAGTAGCAGCTCCTGTGACACAGCTCCCTGCTGCACCAGCAGATGTTGCCGTCACCGTCATCGCCATGGCCACTATCAGTGCGGCATACGGCGATTCGTGGCTATGATGCACGCATCTATGTTTCGTACCACGTGTCATCAGGTCGTGGTGCAATGCTGTGTGCATCTGTGCTGGCTGACTGATCATGCTGAACGATGACGGATTAGAGGGGAGGGGGGGGTGCCGTACAATGGGGTGTAAATCTCCGGAGATAAGGCGAACTCGTCTGCCATGAGGCAACCAAAGTCCTGAGTTTCACACGCGCCTCGACGCATCAACCAGCCTCACCAGACCTCTACGCACTCGGAGGTGGATATGGAGTAGCCTACGACTACTCTGCATACGTGTGTGGAAGTTGGCCATAACTCGAAAATCGACAACAGCAGCAGTATTCTTGCAGAACTCGATATTATCGTCGAGCCTACACTCGCCGCGCTGGACTTGTTTTTTGTAGGATTGCTCTAACTTGGCTGAATGCTTTCGGCAAGGCTCTGTGGCTACACTGGTGGGCCCGATGGTGCAGGCGATGAGTTCTTCCGTCAGCGACGGTGGCGGTGATGTTGGCAACCGGTGGCAGCAAGGGGGACATCGCCGGCAGGTTTGTAAGAACGTCAGAAGCTGTTGTGGTGGTTTGTTACGGCGCCTTTGTACAAGGTGCATTGATGTTGCAGTTAACACGCTCCGCTGTGTTCTGCGGCGCGCATTATGTCTACCTGTTGGCTTGCTGCTGCTTATATTTTACCCGTAACATCACGTTGAACACTACACCTTCGTTGCTGCGCACTGCGTTAGCAGGGAACGGTGTTGGTGCCCACCACCTCGCCTTCATGTTTACACACCCCTTTCTTACCGGTACCTGATCAACGAACGCTCTCGCAGCACCTTTGTATGTCGCTGTATCCACAGGGAGAGTTGCTGTACCCATGGCTTGGACAAAGAGGCGGTACGTCTGTGAGGTCCTTCTTCCTCTGACTCTGAACACCTGCCAGCAAGATTCAGCACAAGAGTTGTAAGTGCCATGTGAAGTCAAACGGCTGTTGATTCTTCGACAGGACTCGCGAGCCCCGAGACAAGCTGGACGTCATGGCCATGCTGGCGGTGCTGATGCCCGTGCCGACGCACCGCCGGAGTTGACGAAGGGCCAGCTGCTCCGGATAGCCTGCGGCATGCTTGGGCTCATGTTCGGCTGGGCCACGAAGGTGCGGATGATGGCACCGATTTCGATTGACCTCGTCACTTGAGCAGAGCACATGGTGTCCAGCGTAATTGGTTTTGCACGTTGGCCCCGTGCACAAGACATGCGCATAACCGTGGTTTCCGATACTCGCCCAGTGGTTTCGTCACCCCACGTACGTGCCTTCTTTTGAGGGGGATTTCGTAGGCGGAAAAACGCCTCTATTTATTCACGATCAAAAATATCATACCCTGTACGTATGAAGATTTACATCTCGGTTTCTCGATGCCGACCAACCCTATAGACTGGGAGAGAAGAGTTGACGTGTGCCGCTCTGTTCCCTCCGTCTCTTCCTGCGCCCAGACTGTACTCACGACGCCCCTCTTCCGTGATGTCTACGGCGTCGATCCCGCCGACCTGGGCTTCGTGTGGCTCGCCGGGCCTCTTTCAGGGCTCTTAGTGCAGGCGAGGGGTCATGCGGCAGTGTCAGAGGAATGTTTCTTTTCGGATACAGCTTACTTGGGTGGTTGCTGCAGGGTATTTTTATTCCCGTGGTTGTTGTGGCGAGGAGTTGGCGGCGGAGGTTGAGATTGTATCGGCCTTGACCTCGAACTCCGTCTTGGGTGTCTAGGTGGTGTTGTTGGCGGTGTTGCTAGTGGGCAGTGGGCTTGATGGTGGGGTCCGTATCGTTGTTTCGGAGATGATATGGTCGATGGCAGGCCTTTGGATTCCACCTTTACCCGTGGTAGCGGTAGCTTCTGTCAGCTGTGGCATCTGCTGCGTGTGTTTAGCTGCCGCTATTTAGCGCTATAATAGCAGGCTGCTGGCGGTACTGTTGCATGCCAATCGCCAAACGGGTTTTTCCGATTCTTCTCACTTGTCCGTGCCCCTTTACGCCCTTTCTCTGCGGATCGACGCACCACCCACATCAACGCCGCCGCCATCGCGACCACCCGACACCGACTTCATCAGCCCGTTGTTGGCGTGATTTCCGACCACCGAGAGGGTCAGGGCCAGCGCAGCTTTTTCTTCGCGGTGGGCACGATCATCATGGCCGCGTCTCTGGTGCTTCTGCCGGCGGCCGGTGCGGTGTGCAGGCATCTGACAGGCGGCAGCGGTAGCAGCAGCAGCGGCAGCAGCAGCAGTGGCACCAGCCACAGGTAAGGTTTTGGCATTTTCATTCCCGGCTTGGTTTTTCTCGAAGTCATATTCTCATTTTGTGCCAGAGAAAGGATGCGTGGAGGTTTATCTAGTCTCGACTATGATTGGCAAGAGAGGTGGGCAGGCAAAGGCCACCACAACAATTTGTTCGCCTTGTCGGGAACTGTATCCACAATACTGACCCCCGAACCTTAGATCAAAATCGATGTCTGCATGTTTCTTGAGAGGCGGACTCTTTCCGAAGAGCCACCGTCTTTATGATGTTGACGGCCTTGCTAAAATCGATAGAGTGACCTTGAAATAGTTGGCCCAGGTCGAGTGTGCCTTCTCGGGTCGCAAGAGTGAGTGTTTTCTTGCGTAGTTCGTGCATCGGGCTCTGCCGTCAGTCTCTGATGCGTGGCATTGGTGATACCCACGTCGTCTTGGAGGCGCTCAGCGGCATGTGGGCATGTTGCATGGGTAAATATGCCCTCGCCAACCTTGCGTTCAAGGAGACCCGCTCTATCAAACTTTAACGGGCGCCTGCTGAGCTCACGCTACCCCCTACCACCCCCCGTACACACTCGGTGTCAAGCAAGTTAGCCGTTATTGCTCACTGCCACTCCCGATGACCGCTTCGCGACGTATACTGTGAATGCGATAGTGAGGAGGCTGCCGGCACGGGGCTGGCTGTCTTCGCCCTTTGGGCTCTTGACCTTGCGATGAACGCGTCCCTGGTTGCCATCCGGGCTATTGTGGCGGATTGTGCTCCGCCCCAGCAACAGGTAAAACCCCCGAAGCCATCTCTTTTGAAAAACACGCCCGTTTTATTTTTTCGGACCCCTGGCAAGAGGAAAGGAGGGCAGGTATCGGTTGTTGCCTCATTTGTCTTGGACTGGACGGGGCTTCTTCCTGTCTAGTAGTGTGCCTTGACTCCGCCACTTTGTGGCGCTCTTCTCGAAGGAAGCGAGGGGGAAGCCTTGCGGCCGCTCCGGTTCTCGCGTCGGCCTGCGCTAGATCCGGCAGCCTACCTTGTTTTGGGAAATTGGTAGGTTTCGACGCGGAGAGGGGGGAAGTGAGGGGCAGAGTTTTTACCACTCCGGCGAAGCAGTAGTGGCAAAATCAAGCAACCGCGTTGCGCCAAACAGCTCTTGCTTACGCTGAGCCACGCAAGAGGCACTTCTTCGTTTGCCGCAGTGAGATTTCTCCTCCACACGTGTCTACTCTTATACCCGCATGAAAGAGAAAATGAGACGGTAGTGCTTGTCATACATGCCTCCCCTCGTGCTGGTCCCTCGGCACCCGCCGCCTGCCACCCTTCCCGTCTCGTCAGCCGGAGGCGAACACCGTGATTATTATCAGCTACGGCGCCGGCACTTTCCTGGGTGAGTTTTTCACCTTGGGGCCGTCCGTCTGCGCTCTTGTTCGGCGACCGCAAGTTGTCAACAGTTGTCGCACCTGGTTCCTATAATTGGTGCGTGGGGCAGCAACCAACCTTTTCATCGGGGTCGGTTCCGTTAAAAGTTGCCGAATCCCGGAGAATGCTGTGTAAGCGAGCGTTGTGCTGCCCTCCCGGTGGGTATTCCAGCAATGAATTTTGGGCAGAGGAATGGTTTGCGGGTGCAAGGTTTGGGGAAACTGCTTTGTGTTTTCCTTGCGTCTATCAATCGCTCGCTCCGAAGAATGTCATGACGACGGCAAATTGCATGCACAACAGCCACAATCTCGTACACCTACAACGTCAACAACATTTCGAACAGAAATAACGGTAGCAACCGCAGCTTTCCTTCATCGTCAATTAGGGGAACCACCTGGACAAGAGCCGAACAACTAGATGATTTCCTATTGCCTCTTGTGTTCGGATTCCCGCCCGCCTCTTCACGTTTTAGGTTATGGCTTCGGTGCTGTTGACGCGGCTGCGTTGCTAGGCTTCCCTCCAGGGGCCTTTTGGAAATCTTGCGTAGATTTCTGGGTGGCGGCGCTTGTTCTGCTCGCGGCGTCGGCGGTGACTACCAGGGAGGTGCGTCAGCGTATCCGCTACGATGTTGTGCCAATGGACGAAGATAAATGACAGTTAGTATTTGGTCGACGTTCGTGGTGGCGTCGTTTCCGTAAAGAACGTGCCACTGTGTGATGCTGACATACGGGTGGGCCCGATCTGCATACCATACGACACCTCCTCGAACACCGTGTCCATCGAATGCAACAGGAAATGGTCTTGAACGTCTCCAACAGCGTTTCCACGTCTTCTTCGTTCTCGACCAAAGGTCCACCTGCTTCCGCCAAGTGCAGGTCAATCCGCTCTGCTGTACCTATTTTGCGTGGTGCGTCTCGCCCGAATGTGTCACATCGCATGCTCCCTCCGTGTGTGATAATAACATGCTTCCGTCAGGCGTTCCGGATGGAGCGGCCGCGAGCTCTCGCTACAAAGCGAGGCGGATCTCCGCCGTACACCGTTATCGAGGGAGGGGGCAACGGAGAGTGGCAGGAGCGGCAGCGTCCGCAGCTGCTGCAACATTTCCAACTAGGAGGGCCCCATGATGCTGCTGTGTCGAGGTCCACTGGCGACACAGCCGTTGTCACCAATACCGCCAGCATTGTAGTTAACGGCGGAGAGAGTGCGGATGTTTGCACAGTTGATCGTGGGCAAGAAGAGGGGGATGTTGGGCCCCGAAGTCACTTGGAAGAGGAGATTCCGAAGCAGATGGCAACGAACGAGCGGGAGTCGAACAACAGCGACTTGAAGGCTTTTGGAGGCGTTCGCGGGGGTCAACCTGCGCCTTTGAGGGGCGAAGTCGGGAAGATAAGCGCTACTGTAGACGTCGACGGCACCGGGAGCTTGGAGGAAGAGTCATGGGGGGGAGGCTCGGCGGAAATGGCGGCGGTGTTGCCACCATCTCGCACCTCCTTCAAGGTGGGCTCCGACGTACATGATTTAGGCGGGGTCGGGGGTGGAGGAGGGGGTGTGCACTCATGTAAACGCATGCCGTGGTCGGTGGGCCATAGACCTCGTAAAAGAAATCGCCCCGCTTGATGAGGAACTGACTATAATCAGTGCCTAACGTGATCTGTCTGCCATGTCGCGCCCCTATGCTGTTGTTCGGCATGCCTGTTTGTTCCCCAACGCGCGCAGGGAAAGCTGCTGGATATGGCACTCTTCTACTCCGTCCCGCCCTGGTTGCTGCCGGTGTGCCTGCTGCTGTTCTTTTCCTGGGTTGGCTGGTAAGTAGAGCACGGAAAAAGACGCCAAACTACGTTGAAAAATCTCAGCGATGTGTTTCCTGGTGTTGATATCCCGACTGTTCCGTGGGAACGGATGTACGGCTATTTGCACAGTTTGTTGGTTGGTTAAGCAGTGATCGAACGAATACAACCCGAAACTTCTCGCTACCGGTGGCCTGCAGATTGTTGCATCTTGTGTCTCTGCAGCGTGGTTCGAGTGTCGTCAGAATGCGCCAATACGTTGCGTTTCGACAATTGAAACAGCTGTGGTACATCCTACTCCCGTTTCGCCAGCCTCGTGTGGATTTCTGCTGTTGCACCTGCGCCGGTCGCCCCATTTTGCAATTTATGTCTTGAGGAATGCGACCGATCACTGGAAATTTCTCGTAGCAAAAAGCTACCGGCACATCACTCAATTGTTGTCGCGTTTTCAGTTTTCTGTTCGTGGCGTAGCCCAGCTCGGTATCTTTTTCGTGTCCCAAGTCGGTGCATGCCTGGCGTTGATGACGGCCATCCCTCCCCATTTCGAATCCCCCTTCTGCCAGGTTCGCCATCTTCATTTTTGGCAGCGATTGGGTTGGAGTCGACATATTCGGCGGAGACCCTTCGGCCGCGAAAGGGGAAGAAGGCCACCAGGTGCTTGCTTTGCAACACAAGCACGCCCCTTTGAAAGCAGGCAGAGAGCGTCATCATCTCAGAGAGCAGACACGCAGCGACTCGACACATTTCCTAGCCCCAGTCAGAATCCACATAGAACATGGCATGTTTTTGGCCGTCCTCTCCCGCACCGCCAGCCAATTGGTTTTGTGTTTCCGTGCCCACCCTGCGAGAGAAGATATATGTTCGATTATTGTTTCGCAAGTTCCCGTTTGTCCCCGGGAAGACCTTGCTTGTGCCACACACTCATTCCTTGTAGGTTGCTTGCCGCGATTTCGACCAAGCTTGTTTTGTTCTTTGCGCTATTTATGATGATTGCAGCTTTTACCAGCGTGCGTGTTTCATTTCTGAGTTGACCATTCTTGTCTCGTCCATTGTAGTCCACAACGCCAGGTAGATCGACAAGTAGAGTTCCCTCAAGTGGTGGACGACTCTTGCCTCGTTTTTACGTTCTGAGGCGATGTTCCCTTGCTTGCGGCACTGTCTACATTGGCAGTGTTCCAGCATGCAACCAACCAGCCCTCTGTTCTCTCCTCCCGTCGTTGACGCCCTGCTGTGTTGTTCCCTCTTTCTGCTTGACGTGATTTTCGAGAAAGGCTTACGAGGACGGCGTGTCGTGGGCATCTGTGGGGCTGGCGGCACAGGCAAGGAGCATATAATATCTGTTCGTGCTGTTCAACGTGTTGGCACCCGAAAGCCGGGTTACGCGTGCACACCTCCCACCCACTCTTTTCGATGGGAACGAGCGGAATGACCGAACAAGAATGCGTGTCGTCGGGGGAAGATCTCATTTACATGATCCGCTGAAGGGTTGGAGCGCTGCCCGCATAGACTTCGAACGATGCCATTCTTGCCGTTTCGGGATGTATTCGCCCCCTGCTGGTAAGTACTTATGTCCGTTGACGGGGTGCTTGTAGCTCGGTCTTGGCTGTGGCCTTCAGCGTAGGTGTACGCCAACCGTTGCGTGCATGTGGGCGTCAGGAATTGCCCGCACCGAAAAAAAAGCGCCCACGACTCGCAGCGCTCTCTCCCCGTGTTTCACGATCCTCATCGCGGTCAGACGAGGTACCTTTGATGATCTCTACCGCCGACACGCTTGGCATACATGTCACTTTGATACCTATTCTCGCGGCGGTCTATTCCGCCGACAAATTGTGCTTCATGCCGAGCACACAATTGCTGTCACGAAAACACCAATGGTTGACATGATGTTTTGCTTTCGCCCTTGCCCCTTTGCTTTCGGCCCATCCTTCACGCATACCACCTCGCCACAATATGCGTCACCCCCGCGATAGGCGGTCGTGATTACCGGCATGGGCTGTGGACCGGTGACCCTCCTAGTTCGGTCAGCGGGGCTCAGGGGCGCCTTCCTGACAGCGGTCGTTTTCCAAGCGACCTGTCTCCTGATCGCGGCGTTCCTCAGACCGGGCCCGGCCGCGTAAGTGGGTCCCGTTCAGTTCCTCCCGCTGAGCTGAAGAACGATAGACTGCGTTGTACCATGTCATCTTTATCTCTTTCTGTTTCTCTCGAAGATCATGGCGAAAATGAAGCATAGAAATAAATGTCCTCGTTGGGTGATTCGTGTCGGCATGTATCTTTGGCCTTCATTGTCCTTTGTCTAGACGTTCACGCGAGGCAGCTTGAGTACAGGGCGCGAGGGTTTGAGTTTCATGCTTGGTTGTTGCTGCTATCGCTCCTTTCACTTGTTGCTCCCCAACGCATGGGCCAAGAAACGCACAGCAGTAGGTAGCATCGTGCACCGTTAGGACGTGGTGCAGAGGCACAACGCGAGGGTTGTTTACACGTTACGCCGGCGCCAAAGACGAGCCATACAGCTGTGTTTCGTGGTGTGTTTCTAACCCGCTACGCACCAACACCGCCCCCCTTTGTGGAGTTCATATTCTGTACTTGTGTCCGGTGGGTTTCGTTGCCGTCGGTGTCACTCTCGCCCAAAAAAATAAAGTTGGGCTGCACCCTCATGCTAGACGATGCTGGGGGATTTCAAAGCTGTGAAGTTGTGCTCCTGCTTCCCCTCATGCCGTCCCTCTCGCGCTCCATGCCCATTGCTTCGCTCTGCACGCTGCTGCTGCTGCAGGCCGGCCCTGTCGCTCGTGCTCTTGGCAGCTCTAGGGGTGCCGCTGGCCTTGGCGGAAAGCCTCCCGTACATGATGGTGGGCATGTTCAGCCCGCGGGAAACGCACGGGCAGTTGTTGGGAAAACTTAACGTATGGATAGGTGAGCGAAAGCGTGAGGCACTCAGCCCATACCCGCGGGAGAACGACGCTCAAAAGAATCCGAATGTATTTGGAACCGATCGGCGCAGGCGTACTGCTTTTCATGCGTGATGACTTTCGTCGAGTCAGTTTTGGTGTTCCGTCGATGAGCATTCTTGTTCAGAAGGTTACGAAAACGTGTTTTTGCCTGGGCAAAACGGCCGTCTACTCGAGCCATTATCCCCTTGTTATTCCGTATCGGTATGTATGAGTTGCCCGAACTGCTTCTTGGGGAGAGAACCTGTGGACTGCGGAGAATACGTTGTATTGGTTCTTGATACGAACGGAGACATTTCTCTCGGCCACAAATGAAAGTCTCAATTGTCGAGGGCGTCTTATGTTGGTTCTTGCAAACTGCCAACAAGCGAAGCCGAGGCTACGGGGCCTCGAAAGACTAATAACAGTACGACACCTGATCAAGACTCATCGCATCGTCAGACACGTTAATCCTCTTGTCCCGTTTGTTATCGCTCTCGGTGGCGGTTGTCCTATATTCCTGTCCTTCAGTCCTGGCTCAGCTGGCGTTGACGCTGTGCGTCCACCCCATCGTCAAGCATTCCGAAGACGGGGATGCCTCGGTGCTACTGGCGGGTGCGATTGCGGCAGCGGTCGGTGTCGCATTCGGTGCGTTCATTTTACAGTAAGAAGGTGGTCGAGAAGCCTACACATCGTGGGCCCGACAGTCTTCGGCCTTGCGTCAGCACGTCAGCACAATTATGCAAAGTGTATTGTTTGGTGTTCGCAAACGCTGACAATCAAGCGCGAGCCGTGTGCAACATATTCTCGAACTTACCGACGGGAAACGTTCACAATTGAGAGCTCTCTTCTTGTTCCGCTTTTGCATGTGGTGGTTTCGGTAGTTGGGTCGGCTCTTTGGTCAGGGTGCTACTTTTGCGTACCTCGTTGATGCCCCCTTCCGTTTAGACCTATGAACCGATGGTCACCGTACCGGCTTGTTTTTTTTGTTTTCTAGTGAATAACAAACACTTGTTCTTGTTGCATCCCGATATTAAACATTCAGTCCCAGCCATCGGAAGAGAAGAGCCGGTCCGAGCATCACCTCCGCAGCATCTTTCGTCACCTTCCGCGGCGTGTGGGGCCCTGGACGAATGTTTGTCGTCTCCTCGTCGAGTCCTCCTGGAACGGGAATGAAAGCGGATCAACTTTCCATTTGCGTCGAAGCGCGGTTTACTAGGATATGTGAACAACCTTTTGGAAAGATAGACTATAGGTGAAAGATGTTTTTGCAAGGATGTGGCTGGCTGGTGTTCGCAGGCAAGTCCGAACGGGGATTCAGTCACGAGCTGAGAAGTACATCCCATCTCACTGAATTTCAGTCGCGCAAGCGAGTGCTGTCTATTGAAGAGGAGATGCAAAGAGTCAAGGGTGTAGACTAGACGTTCCTTGTGCGCGAGCTCTGGTTTCACCTGTGATCGTCTAGTAGCTCCAAGGTCTGTGCATCCAGACATGATGAATCTATTTGGCAAAAAAACAACTACATATCATGTGCCTAGGATGAGGCAACGTGCTCTTGTTTAGTTTCCGCACTCTCCACTGGAGTGCCGACCAGAAGAAACGTGATTCTCCGTCAGCTTCTTTGGAAGGTCTGCGCTGTTGGATCCGTGAAAATAATCAACTCATGGACCTTTCATGCTCCTTCAGGAGACAAGCAGTGATTTTCGTACCGCTCGCGATCAACCATGAATGAGAACGAGTGGACGGAGTCCGCATGGAACGCATGCAAACGTGACACATTTCGTTTGCACTGGGCTTGCAAGACAATTTACCTATTGACATGATGGAGCGTGGGAAAAGAGGTGAATATCGATCCCGGGCGCACCAGTACCAACCCTACATCGTATCCTGTCTGATGCAGCAACAAAAAAGTTGAAGGGTGCATGTTTGCCACACCATTGCATTGCATTTCCAAACGATGACCCAGACATCCCCGAAACGGGTCGTGAGTGGGGGTGGAGAACCAGGCACCTTTTCCCTCGGCTGAAACAACAGCTACACATGCATCCATGAACAAAGCTCACAGGATTGGTGCGAGGTGGTACTGTAGATCACACCAAACGCAGAAACATACCTCCATGGCAGCAATGCCGAATGGAAGTAAACGCTGCCAGTCCTTCACAATCCCGACGTCTCCGGCAACTGGCAAATCATTTCCGGCTCTGCGTGTCTATTATGGTCACCTACACAGCACGACGTACAACTGCGTTCACAAATGGTGATCGAAGACATTTCCCACTCGCTTGCTTCACTCTTTTGACCGCGATTGCTGATCCAAGCAACCTTGGCCTCAGCTTTTATTCTCAGGGTTCTAGACTACCTCAGGAAAAGGGACAAGATAGATTGTCTCGGAGAAACATCGATTTTGGGGTGACAAGCGATTTCGGCTCTTCAATCCGTACGTTCTCTTATGTCGACTCTTTCGCATTGAAGCCGCCGCTGAAAAACCAATAGTTCGGATCATGGGTAACGGGGTCGCCGTCCTCTGGAGGTGCCGCCAAGCTTGTCGCTCCCACCGTACCACTGCTAGTACTAGGGCCCGCGGATTGTGCAGTGCTGGCCATGCTGGTCATCGCTGTGCTGCCACCACCGGCAACGGCACCCATCAAATGTCCCGCACCTCCCAAAACTACAGGCTGCGCCAAGGACGCTCTGTTCTTCGAGCTTGCAGATGCCGGTTGCTCCGACATGCCGTCAGAGGGAGCACTCTGCGCCGGTTGCTTCATCGCTTCCTTTGCTCTTGCGATGTTGGCGGCGTTAATCTCTTCCGCCGCCGCCTTCAAGCGTGCCTTTCTTCTGCGTTTCTTCGCCGCGTTCTTCCCGGGCTTGCCCCTGCTAGGTGGTGGGGGTGGAACATTGCCTGACAACGGTGGCGATTTTGACGAAGCAGGGTTGGGGGTGGTTGCGGATGACGTAGATGCAGCAGCATGCTCTTGCCTCTGCATCGCCTCCATCGAGAGATCGACCTCCCCTTCTCCATTCTTGCCCCTTGCAGGTGGTGGGGGTGGGACATTGCCTGGCGCCGGTGGCGAGAGTGAATTCCATGCAGGGTTGGGGTTGTTTCCAGATGACATAGATCCAGCAGCGGCATGCTCTTGCCCCCGCATCGCCATCATCGAGACATCTCTGGGTGGCGGGGGTGGGACAATGCCTGTCACCGGTGGCGATATCGAGCTCCATGCAGCGTTGGGGTTTTTTGCAGATGGCATAGATGCAGCACCAGCATGCTCTTGCCTCTGCATCGCCTCCATCGGGTGGTAGACCTCCCCTTCTCCATTGATGCCTCTCCTGGGTGGTGGGGGTGGGACCAAGCCTGTCACCGGTGGCGATATCGAGTTCCATGCGGGGTTGGGGTGGTGTCCAAATGAAATAGATGCAGCAGCAGCATGCTCTTGCCTCCGCATCGCCTCCATCGGGTGGTAGATCTCCCCTTTTCCATTAGTACCCCTCCTGGATGGTGGGGGTGGAACAGAGCCTGTCACCGGTGGCGATAGTGAGTTCCTACCGTGCTCGTGCCTGCGCATCGCCTCCATCGAGAAATTGACCGCCCGTTCTTCATTCATGCCCCGCCTGGGTGGTGGGGGTACGACACAGCCTGTCACCGGTGGCGATCGTGAGTTCAATGCAGGGTTGGGGTTGGTTGCGGATGACATCCATGCAGCGGCACCGTGCATGTGCCCCCGCTGTGCCTCCATCGAGAGATCGATCTCTCCTTCTTCTCTCTCGCTCCCACTGTGCTCCCGCGATCGATCTCCGAAACCAGATTCATGGAGTCCATTGACAACCTTCGGTGATACCCCGCCCTTCTTCGCGCTTGCGCTACCAGCGCTCTTGGAGGAAGGTGTTGGGCCCAGCAGCCCCGCATCCCCCGTAGCTTTGGACGTCGTTGCTCCGCCTATCTGGGACGCACTTGACGTCTTCGGTACCTTCGCAAGCGAGGACGTCTTCTTCACGGCCTGTGATACACTCTTCTGCTTGGCACCTGCGGTCCCAGGGTCCTTGGGACTGGTTGTTGCGCCCGATGACGTTTTCGCCAGATCGTTCTTGGAAACCTTCGATCTGTCTTTCTGGGACACACTGGGCGCCGCCGGGGGCGCCTTCTTCGCGACCCGTGGCGCCTCACCCTTCTTCGCACCCGCACTTCCGGGACTCTTGGAGTTTGGTGTTGAGTCCAACGGTGCCACAGTCGCGGCAGCTCCGGAAATAGACGACACGCCTTTCTGTGATGTGTTAGACTTTTTTGCTGGCACCTTCTTCGCGGTAGGTGCGTTTGCGGTGGGACTCTTGGCGCCCAGTGATACATCCTTCGTAGCGTCTGCACTACCGCGACTCTTGGAGATGGGCGTCGAGCCGGTGGATGATCCTGCCAAATATTTCTTCGCAACCGTCGACCGCTCTTTCTGGGAGGTCTTGGGTGTTGTACTTGGAGCCTTTGCAGCTTGTGCAACCTCCCCCTTCTTTCCATCGGTGTTGCCCGGGCTCGTGGAGCTGGGCGTTGAGCCAAGCGACCCGGGGGCTTTCGCAATCTTCGGCCCATCTTTTGGGGCATTTGGCGCCTTCGAGAGTGCACTTTTCCCGGCCTGTGACACCTCGCCCTGCGTTGAGCCCGCACTCCCAGGGCTCTTGGGACTAGGCGTTGAGATCCGCAGCGTCCCCGTCCCAGCAGCTTTGGAAGTCTCCGATCCGCCTTTCTGGGACGAGCCGGACGTTTTCGATGGCACCCTCTTCGCGGCTTGCGACGCGCCGCCCTTCTTTGAGCCCGCACTCCCAGGGCTCTTGGGGCTAGGCGTTGAGGTCCTTAGCGTCCCCGTCCCCGTCCCCGTCCCCGTCCTAGCAGCTTTGGAAGTCTCCGACCCGCCTTTCTGGGACGAACTGGACGTTATCAATGGCCCCTTCTTCGCGGCTAGCGACACGCCGCCCTTCTTTGCACTTGCAGTACCAGGGCTCTTGGATTGAGGTGTCGAGACACCCGATGCCACCCCTCCTTTGGACTTGGAGATTGTTGACCCTGCTTTGTTGGGGGCGCTGGACGTCGTTGGGGGAACCTTCGTATTGACAGTCTTCGCGGGCGCCTTCTTCGTCGCTTGTGATGCTTCCGTCCTCGTACCGGCACTACCACGGCTCTTCGGGCTGGGCGCCGACCGCGGCGATGCCTCCGCCGCGCCGGTCTTAGACATCTTCGACCGGTCTTGCTGGGGCACGCCGGGCGTTTTCGGAGAAACCTTGTCTGCGGCCTGTGACACCTCATCTGTCTTTGCACCTGCGCTGTCAGGCCCCTTGAGAGCCTTCGATCCACCTTTCGAAATTTGGAGGAATGCAGGGGACACTTAGGGACATGGGCGTGTTTCCTGTTTGTGTACTCTCGACATACTCTAATAAGGTAATTTTGAATTGACACCCTGCCCTTTCGCCTGGCTTGGAAGGTGGCCCGGTCGCATGTTTGCGCCGTTGGGCCTACGACTTGTTCATACAATTGGACACTTGAAACAATAACCAGGTGCGAAGGTTGTCCCGCCCTTGGTCTAGGTGTCATACTTGATGCGCCGCAAGCACGCGCTCTCATTGTGAGTGATGCAAACGTGGGATGGGGCAGATTTTTCCTGCCATCGGAACGGGTTTAGGGAAGAATCACACTCCGAATCAAGCAAGTAGTCTATTCAGGACCGATACCCCGCTACAGAAATTTCTTTGAGACGGAAAGGCAGAATAGGTACCACCGCAGATGCGCAGAATGGGTCTACGCAGGAGAACAGAATCACAACCGATGTCAAATTCAAACTGCCGTACGGGCCCTCCATGCCCATGTCAACCACAGTAGTTTGGCTGGGTACATTGCAATCCGCAAGATGTAGTTGACCACGTGCTCCACGTTGAGTTTACGGATAGTACGGTTCTACCCATCACAAGGAAAGACCGGGCATGTACGATTTTGCAGGCAAACATGATGACAATGCTGAAGTTAGTGCTGTAAGAAAAGAGGATAGATTCTGTTTGACACGATCTCGATGTCGGGGATGGAAGTCTGCGGTGGGTACCGGTTTGCTGTCTACCAACACCCAACACTCATCTTCCGCGTGTCTTTCCTGTCTAATTGAATCTCTCTCTCTCTCTCTCTCTCTCTCTCTCTCTCCGAGCGGCAGACGAAACGACAAGGAACTGCTGGGAATACGGTGTAATCGCCAAAAAACACTACTGGATTCGTAGATCGCGTGTTAAACCAACGATCGAACAATATTTCAGGAACGTACCGGTTGTACTCGGCGGCACCTTCCCCGCAGCCGGTAGCACCATGGATTCCTGCTTCTTGAGGCTTGACAGCGCCGCCGTTCTCGCTGCCGCCGCTCGAGTTGTTGCAGTAGCGTCTACCCTGGCTCGTTTCGAGGTTTGGCTCTCGTCTGCGGCCCTTTCGTCACTGCGCGCGAGAGTCCCGTACCCGCGAGAACGCTTGGTGGGCCTCCTGCTGCCGCCGCGTTCGCGGCTGCGGGATCTGTTCGCACGACCAGCGTAGTCCGCGTATCCACCTCGCTCGCGGCAACGTTCCCTCGTCGTGGAACGGCGGGAGGTGTCTCCTCGATCGTAGCGGCTCCCTCGGTCCTGGCTACGAGAAGAGCGACCGAACGACCGGCCACGGGGGCTGGCAGACCGCTCACAGTGAGCACCACGTCGGCCTACATCGGTGTCACCGGATTGTCTCTCAAGGCTGGATCCTCGGCGCACCGATATTTCGAACCCTTGGTCGGTACCGCGCACGTTCCGGGCCGTAGGTCCACCGTCACTGACGTCTCCGCCAGCGCTAGCCCCCCTGTCGCTTTCATCGTCTGAACTCAACGCGCGCCATTCCGACCAACTCTCGGGTTCTGGCATTTTGTGGGCAGCATCTGCCTCTTTCTCGGCACTCGCCACACCGTCGCCAACAGGCGAGGTGAGAGGAGGTTTAGCATTTCCCCCCGAGGAAGCGCCATCGCCGTTGGGAGCAGTGAGAGAAGGTTTAGCAGTGCCTCCCGAGGCAGCTCCATCACCGTGATCTTTGGATGAAGTAGACAAAGGGAGGGCTTCCGGTGGCTTCCCCTCTGCTGCGCTGGTCTTGGCATCTACCCTCTCCTTGTCAGGCTGCAAGACAGATATTCCACACCGGCAAAAGGCAGGAGGGAGAACAACAACAAGTTGGAGCGATTCATGTGTCCTTACATTCGTTCTGTGTTCTCTTGGGGTATTTTGGAAAATACAGTAGCGACGAACGTATCAAAAAAGAATTGCAACAAAACCTTCCGTCGGCACCTCGCGCATGAGCCAGTAATCCAACGCCTCGCCCACCCGGGGCTCCGACGGATTCATCCCGGGCGTTTCCAGGGGGGCTCGTTTAGATTGTGGTTCAACACTTGTAAATTTGGATATTTGCCCCGGTAGAGCAGCATCTTCACAGAAAGGGACTGGGGGTGGGGTCGAGCTACTGAACCGTAGTACCGCTGGGGAGGCATGGTCCTCAACGTCGCTTGCACGCAATCAAGAAGCACAACAGAAGCTAAAACTATACCCCGAATTCGCTTGACACGAAGTCGGGCATGGCGTCAACAAAGTCCCCGGTGACACCAGGCCAAGGAGCGGACCTCAGCGGCGGTGTGTGGCGGCTGCGAAGGACTGGTAAGTAAAGGTTGTGCTTGTGGACACGATAAAGTAGGTGCGGCCCTCAGCTGGACCAGAACAACGAGAAAGCTCAAGGACGACTGAGGTGTACACAGAGAAAGAGGGGAAAAAAAAGCAAAACCGACCAAGGTCAACAAACTGGCAGGTCTATCAATAGTCGTGCCGCCTAGGAGGCGTTTAGGTTCGGTTCGTGATCTAAGGGGTGAACAACGAACACCGATCACCCCGCAAGACCACGATAAAGACAGGACATGCTTCCATCTTCGTGCAGACTCTGCCAGTGACCATTGGCTCTTAATAGCTATAATGTAATTCAGGCAAGAAACAGATCATGTGCAACGGTACCAGGTCGTTTTGGAAGGATATGTTTTCCTGTAGAGGCAGATGTGATGGCGGCGAACAAAATACTATCTCGATGGGGCCGTGGCAATGACCTAAGTGGGTAGCTCGCTGCAGGTTGCAAATGGCGTTGGTTTATTGTATTGGACAGATGGGCAAAAGAGGCTTATTGCGTTCGGTTTTCGCGTGGTCGCGAGAGTCATTTCTACAGATGTAAGACAACTTCTCACCATTTGGGTGCTGGGGGTGGCGGCGCGGGCGGTAGAGTCCTTACGGCTGCTGTTCTTGTTTCCGCCTCTACTTCTGCTTCTGCTTCTCGCGCGGCTTCTGCTGTTGCTCCTGCTGTTGCGTCTTCTACTGCCCCTGACTCTGTCTCTACCGCCGCTCCTGCTCCTCCTGCTGTTTCTCCTGCTGTTTCTCCTGCTGCTGCTGCTGCTGCTGCTTCTCCTGCTGCTGCTGCTGCTGCTGCTGCTGCTGCTGCTGCTGCTGGTTCTGCTGCTACTGCTGCTACTTCTGCTGGGGCTACGACGAGCTCTCCGAGCATACTTCCGGCGCCTGACGGGGGAAGCACTCCGGCTAATACTCCTTCTCCGTCCCGGACTACGCCCCCGTCTCCGACGTTTCTTCAGCTCTGCCTCAGCACGCCTTGCCCTTTCAGCTTCAAGCTTTCGTTTAGCCCTACGGGCTTCGAGCACCCGTTTAGCCTTTTGAGCTTCGAGCTCTCGTTTAGCCCTTTGCGCTTCTAGCTCTCGTTTGGTTTCTTCTTTCTTTTTCAGGGCCAGGGTCTTGATTTTCTCTGCCACGGCCTTCCTCCGCTCGAGCTCTTTCTGCTTCGCGAGAGCCTTCTCGCGCTCTTTCTCCTTTTCTTCCTCCGCTCCCCGATCCTCCTTTGATCTTTCCTCTCCAACGCTTTTGCCGAGGTTCGCTTCACCCTCAACGATCGGCTGTTTCGGGGGCGCGGCATCGCTCTCTGCAGCGGCATCTGTCTCCCCCGAGGAAGCGGGCGCCTTGTTCGCATCGGAGGTCGTCGCCTTCGCCGACGCTAAAACGCCCGCGGCTTCTTTCATGAGTCGATCCCCGAGCGCCAGCACCGCCCCAACCTTCCCGCTCACACTGTCGTCTGTAGGTGCCCCTTCTCCGACATCGACTGTCTCTCCCGTACCCTGCTGTGGGGCGACATCGACGCTTGGTTCGTGCTCCGCTTCCGCCGCTGCGGAACCGTGCACCTGGAGCGGCAGAGAGGCCGTCACCACGACCATCGGTTCGCCGTCTAGCTCTTCCTCTTCCTCGCTGGCACTTCCGCCGAAGAGGCTGTCCGATGAATCGCCGTTCGCGCCACCGCTGCCGTGCTGGCCCTGCGAACTGCCGCCCACCTGTAGGGCCGCGGAAAACACCACGTCTGCCGTGCGGGCTTGCAGAACGTCGGCCGCGTGCTGGCGGTCGAGGTTAGCGATCGCCTCCGGTGCTAGCGGGGCCCGACCCGTCACGTTGAAGCCGTACATGCCCGGCATCTCGTCGATGCCGTCGTTCATGCACATCTGGGAGCGGGTAGAAAAACAATGTGCGTACACACACACATAAAGAACGTCAGAAAGTTCTGATAGCGGGCAAAAACACGTTGTTTACCCTGTCCGGCCGGCATGTCGATCAGTTCTTTGGAGGCGATACTATAGGGACCTCGAACATAAAAATGGCAACTAATATCCAAACTCAGCTAATACCGGTGAGAGTCAGCGGTGGACAGGTGCCAAACGGTCCCCGCACAACATATGCGCCAATAAGCACACAGTGCTCAATACATTAGGACGAAGCCCACTTGCTTGCACTCAAACGCACCACAAGCAGGCCGAAGAGGTAAATCCCCTAGGCAAAATCACCTGCAGCCTGATCTCCATCCAGTCGAGGTACGAAGGCTGACCCTCTTTCTTCTTTCCCACCCGTCCCTCGCTCTCTTCGTCATTCTCCCCTTGGCTTTGCTCTAAGGCGAAACCCAACAACGACCAGCGGATGTCCTGGCCCCACACCGGCAGACCGCGAGCTCCATCAGGCGTCAACGACTGCTCGATTGCGGCGCACGCTCTACCGAGGGGGAGGCAGCGGAGAGCGGGGGGGGGGCACAGAGAAGAGTAACTAGTCGATCACGTGCTCGCGGCGGTACGAGATACCCTTGACGCACGAGGAAAATTCAACCAGATTTGACGCCTTTAGGTTGGAGACACCGCGATTGGGATTACGAACTCCCGCCGGGTCGCCACATCTCTCCCCCCCCTACCACATACTCCTAACCCGGTGAGCCCCGAGCAACACGGCCATGTCTAGCCCACTCCGCCTCGTCTCACCGCCTGAGGCCAGACACCAAGGCAGCATCAACCAGGTCCTCGAGGACCTTGCCGCCTACCTGCACCCGAATAAGATCTGCTTGGTCCTGGAGCGACGAGAGGGAACAAGGAGAGCAAAAAAACAAAAAAGCCGCCAAAGAAATGGTGGGATACCATGAAAGGCATACAAGCACAGAGGGCGTGTGCGGTGTGGACAGGAATCGTACAAGGCTTACGTGCGACCATGCACGTCCGCTAGAACCTCGTCCTGAGCCCATACAAAATCCAAGTCGATATCAATCATGCTGCACGTTGCTCAAGGGTCCGGCTTGCGTATTACCCTTGTACCCAGCCAATGACGCGTATTTGCCAAACTAGCGCTTGTTTCAAGTTTGTTCTGGTCTCCACCTATCCTCTGATTCCCCCGAAACACGAGAGATAAATACTCGAGAGCAACCCAAGCCCGCTCATTTCACCTGAGCCCGATCTACTAAGCCTTAGAATCGCAATCCTATCCATATCCTGGAAGTCGATCGATCTTGTCGCTAAATTCACCTGCCCCATCGCAATCTCCTCTGGTTCCGTCTCCGCCCCGCGGTCGCTGCGTTGTGGCTTTTTCCCTTTCGGTGTAGCCGCCACCGCCGCCGCTGCCGACCACCACATCTCCAGCTCACCGCTATCGAGGAGATTCATTGTCGCCGGGGGTCCCGCCGACTTCCGCCTGCCCGGCTTCACCCCCAGCTGACGCACGTACGAGCAGAACCGCAGGAAGATCTCTCCTGTAGGTGGTGGTGATGCCATCAGTAGGTTTGGCGAGAGTAGGGGACTCAATATCACTCGGCCCAAGTCTTTCAACCATGGGCCTCGTACGTAATCTAGCATCCCAACATGCAGCCCAGACGGCGAGCCGCGTCTTTCAACGATGTGCCTTGTACGTAATCTAGCGTCCCCACGCGTAGCCCAGGCGTAGCCCGCCGGGTTCTCGCCGTCGACACGGCCGTTGTTACGTCTTCTCTCTCTCTCTCTCTCTCTCTCTCTCTCTCTCTCTCTCTCTCTCTCTCTCACCGATATTCGGGTTGTGTTTCGCACACGTTGGGCTTGGGCCGGCCCCAAAGGTCGCTTTCGACACCCCTCGAGCCTTGCTGTCCTGAACGAAAAAAAACACACAAACACACACACAAGAGAAAAAATTCCACACGGAAGGGCGGAGGGGAGCAAGAAAAACAGTGGTGAGAAGGGTACGCACTTCGAATACTTTGCCGTCGCCCCCTTCACGAGAGGCCGACACAGCCCCCCGATAATATTTCTGACTACTATCCAGAAGCATCCAGTGGGGGTGGAATCGTCCATGGCATCAGACCACGGAAAAGAACGACGACGTCATATGCACACCAGCGTTCAAAACATGAAACTTGTGAACAAAAAAAAAGAACAAAAAACCTCTTGCTGCGTACCTTATCGAGGAAGGCGGCTAGCAGGGCGAGGATGGAGAACGGCGACGGCTGCCTTGCCTTCCGCGCGCGAGCACGTTCAAGAACACGAGCAGCACTAACCCCACCTCGACGATTACGTGCGCCACCGTTTTCCCACATCACCCCCGCACCGCCACCCAAGTCGCCGTCAGTCGGCCACTTTGCCGCAACGGCCGCGCACACCGCCCACGCCACCGGCAGAAAACATGCCGGGTGGCGGTCATGCCAGCACTTGGCCCGCTTAACCTTGTCGACGGCGACGAAGAGGGAGGGCGGAGGGGTGGGGGTGATCACTTCCCACCTTGTGGAAGGTAGCAGGGATACACTGCGTGAAGCAGACCCTGGAGGTTCTAATATACTGCTCCCGCACGAAGAACCCAACGATTTCGGTCGTCACTTGTTTCACAGGCCAGACAGGATGATGAGGCGGTGAGAAAGCCCACCTTCGTGACGAGTGCTGCGACCTTGTCGTCAAGGTTATTGCATTGCAGCAGCACGACCCTTCCGCTGCTACTCTCGTCCCCGCCGCCCCCCGGCTGGAGGACGCTGCCGCCGCGCCCCCGCTGCGGCAATCGCCGAACCTCATAGGCTACCGTGGCAAAAACAAACGCGGCAGAGCCAAAGAGACACTTGGGTGACTCGCTTAACCAGGATTCACACGCCCCTAAATACAGAAAGTGCACGAAGGCCGCATAGCACCGTCCCCCGAAGAAAGCCTGGGATGCAGCCCAGCCGGGGATTTTGGCAGAATCATGCAAGACACTCGCTGTGTATACCAAAGCAAAAGGGATGGAGCACTGCGACCGTAGTGACCGCGCGCGAGGCCAAGAGAGCTTCACCCTCGGCTGTACCGGTGGGCCTTCGTTCCTTTGACGGTCTGTCTCCGATGATACAACTCGGGGGGGGAAGACTAGAGGGGTGGCAGGCGAAATACGGCAATGGGTGGGCAGAACGTCTGCTGTTGCGAGGGACAACGATGCAGACAGCGACGGGTTCGACCCATGAAAAATAAAATGTCCGTCACCCAAAGACCACATCGAGAACCGACCCACAGCCTGTGTGTCCACCACCCATGCGCCGCGCACCTGTCGAGGCTTCCACTGTGTCGTCGTATCCCCCTATGGCAGCCGTCAAGCCCAGCTTGGAAAGCTGCACGCGATCGCGAGCAAGGATTGAGAAGGAAAACATACAATGCAAACGCATCGCATATGCACGTCGTTGTTGCCACCGCAAGTGCGTCGACAGCATGAGCTACTGGCTGGCAGTGGGCTAAACAAACTACAGCAACTGCGGTCGTTTCCAGCATCAACTCAATACGCTTCTTTCGGCTTGGTTATGTCATGGGCTGTAGATGAGTGTGCGAGCGTGATGTTGGGCAGGAGATGGACGCACGATAGCCTGGCAACCTCGTGGGATATGGGCGAACGCCAGCGCACTCACGGCCACCGCAATGGCACTGGAACACAAAGCTGCAATCACATATTCGCTAGAAACATGTGGCGTTCAGTGAGGGGGTGGGAGAGGGGGTGCCCAATGCTTTCCTTACCGCGAAGAACGTCGCGTCCAAAAAGAAAAGGGATGCATACATATGCCCCTACCCCCCGGCCCACGAGCCATCAGCCAGCAAAACAAAAGACGACCGCCAGCCACCGAGGAAAAACCCGGCTGGTGCCCAGCGCCTTTCCCGTCCCGAGTTCTGGCAGGCATTGCCCTAACTACCATGCACCACCCCACAAGACGTGCTCTTCAGACGGAAGGAAGACTTACCCTTTCGTCTCGAAGCTCCTCAATCAGTGGCTTTGTTCCCCGAACCGCCTTCCTGACCAGCCGCACCGTTCCTAGGTGTTTGCCGGAGCCACAACTGCCATATTGCGTGCGCGCACGCGAGGTACACGGGCGGGGGTGCGGCGTCAATCAAAGCGTGGTCACCAGCGCGAGGCGTACGGGGGCGGGAGGCTGAGAGACGGGGGGCGACAGAGACAGAGGGGAGGGGGGGGGGAGTCATTGTGCAGTGGTGTTGGAAGTGATGAGAGGGAAAAGTGGTATTGAAAGGGAAAAGTCGTGGTGGAGGGTTTCAGGAGCACGCTTTCCCCCTCGAAGAAACAGATGCACCCTTGTTAAATGGGAGATGGGGGGAGTAGACCGCAATAGCGTACCGCCGTTCTTCAAAAACCGACACCAAACGCCACGGTCAGTGTAGGGCTGCTTGCCACGCCAGCCTAGAGCTGGTTGTATGCTGAATGAAAGCAAGAGCGAAATGCAGCAGGGCGGCGGCAGAAGTGGCAGGCGGCAAGATCAGCCACCACCCTCCCAACAATTAGTCCCTGGTACATACCGTAAATGACATGAGATAACACACTCCCTGGACCGATTTTCAAATATCGATTTCTCAACAGCAGAAAGAGTCGCGGCGCGGAAAACGGTGGCGTTGAAGCTGTCTCGTCGAGAGCTTTCCGAAAATGTATTGTATCATTTATACATCCTCTTCGTCGTGGCGTAAGCGAGCTTTGAAAATTGGTCCAGGGGGTGTGTTATCTTGTGTCATATGCGGTACGTGCACGATCCCGTCGAGCACTCTCTCTCGAGTCTAGCTCTCCCGCATGCGAACCGGGTTGCTTTCGAGGACGCTGCTTGAGTGGGGAAGGAACAGAAAGACTCACTGGTAAGACATATCCCCTTCGACTGCTGTGGCTTTATCTCGAACGGGAAATATCTCCGTGACTGCCCGTCAAAAACGGCTCACATGATGGCTGCGAGCTCCTTGCTTTCCAGGTCCGAGCCCGCCGCGTCCCCCACGACCGTCGCGAGGGCACCAACCACTCCGCTTGCCCCGCCTCCATCGATGGTGCCGCCGGCCGAAAAGAAGGCACCAAGGTCCTCCAGGAGATCCACGTGCGGGTGGCGTTCTCCTTCGACAAGGAGTGAAGATGGGGCGTGGCCCTGTGAACAGAGAGCAATGATGTTGACGATGAGAGGGTCGATGTTGCCGCTGATGTTGAATATTTTGAGGAGAAAAATATACATGCAATCACAGAAATACTGCCCGTTTGAGATAATACCACAGCGGTCGAAGGGGATGTGTGGAACTCTACTCTTTGGAGTGAGTGGGTGGGGGGTGTTGCGGTGGTGGTGATGGGCATGGCCATGGCGTTGCCGGCAAATCGGCGTCGCGCATATTCAAGGTGAGACGAACACATGCTAGCACCGCCATACAGACATGAACACGAGTTGTTTTGTTTTCTTCTAGGCATCGGTCAAGAGACACCAATGTACCGCCGTAGTACGGGATGGCGACAAACAACGTCGAATCAACGCAAAAACGGTACATTATGAAATACATCGCACGGCAGTTGAGCTGCAGAGACTCGTCCGCCTCATGTACTGTAGGGCTAGGCTTGCGGTCACACCCGTCGTCTCGAGTCTCCCCCGGAATCTACCCCTAGCGTTGGGAGTGCGCACAAAAATACTTAGAAAAACCAATTCCGTAGGTCGCTACTGCTGTGAAGGCAATAATACACACTGGCACTCGCAGCACGCAGCAGTACCAAACATGACGCTACTCCAGTTACTCCGGTTTGGTTTGTCCCTTCTTTTTTCGCCGCATCCATACAGCATGAGGTACGCCGCCCGAATCGAGCAACAGGCTCGAACGTCGAGCGTTCGCCACATGAATGAACAGGACCCAAGCCGTTGTACTACTCTGTACACCGTGCGGCAATCCTATTAACAGGACGGCTTAAGGTGCCACCTTCCTGCAGAAGCTCGACACAACAGCAGCTAGCGGCACCCAGGGCGATCGCCGAATTCCTGCTGTAATTGGGCCGCAATTACGTAGTTTTTGAGTTTGTTTTTTCAAATGCAATACATGTATTGTATTTCTCTCGTTGTTCCCCGACGTCGCGCACCCGTGCATACCTTCTCAGCAGCAGGGGGGGAGGAGACGCGGTCGGCCAGCGCCCGGAGCACATTCTTGCTCAATATCTCTCTCCACCACGCGCGATGCCTCTTGAGCTCAGGGTGCAAGGTTGTAGTGCGGCTCCCGAGCGCCAGGACCGCCTCGCTTTCGCCAGCCGCCAACTTACCCGCACGCACCATGGGCAGGATTAGTGTCTGGTCTCGCAGACAAGATAACCTTGACGCTCTCAATTGCTGGGAGCTGTATTGTGGACTCAACGGCGGGTGACAGCATGGATGAATTACATGCAAACGGCGCGTGTGATTTTGTTTGGCGACGCAAGACGGAGGAGGGGGACTGCGGACGCACATAGTTTGACGGGGGGGACTCGGGGTGTGAGCCGGAACAAAGCAAGCCAGCTGCTGGTCGTGCATCATCCAGATCACACAGCAGTTTATTGCAAGCGAGGCAGGACAGACGCAAGCGTGTTGCCCAGGAGAAAACATCCCCTTCCTCTTCTCCTAACAGCAGCAGTAACAGAGGCAGGTGCTACTACCACAGCAGCCGCCGCGATGAGCAGTGCAAAGAAGGCGAGGCACACGGTCGCTTCTTCTTCCGCGCCTCCTGATGACGGGAACGGGACCAGCAACGGCCACCCTTCCGCGATCATAGCGCCACGCTGCACCTACAGCACGAGCAAGGCGTCGGAAAAGTGCCCTCACATCATGGTAAGACCGAGGGAGGGAGAGAAACAGAATGCACGGGTTCGTTTTGTCTAAAAAGAGTAGATAAAAGGGACCCCTACCGCGTCCTGTCGCCTGGCGAACATTTCGCTCTCTTTCCGATAAATGATGGTATGCGACCAAAAATAGAGCCGCTGGCCGCCGGCCTACATTGCGCAAGATTGATGAGTTTGGGAGCCGAATTCGAAAAGCGGTACTTGTAGACAAGGGCACTGGCTTTTTTTGGTCTTCAACTTTCAAGCGCGTTTTCCATTTTTGGCGTGCATGTTTACCTTTTGCCCCCCAAGATTCTCGATCACAACGGCACAGATGCTACAGAAAACGAGAACGCGTGCCGAAGAGAGCGGGTATTTTGCGCGAAAACTATGTTGCCGATTCACTTACACACACACACCGGTCGCCCCGGTGGTCTAGTTGGTATCCTCGAAACCTTCTACAAGTAGAGGTCAGGGCAGGGGTTCGAATCCCGGTGTAAGCAAGCTTTTGTTGCAAAGTGAGTTTTTCTCTCGCTTCCGCTCCTGGCCTAGTGGATAACGCTAGTTCGTGTGTACACAGAGGGAAGAGATTGCTGAACTCTTTTCGCATTAAAAATCGAAGGCAAAGTACCCCAGGAGGGGAGGGTAGAGAGGTGCTCTTCTGTGTGACCACGGGTTGGAGTAAACGGCACTAAATAGTGCTGTGAGCGTGATTTGAAGTGAAGACAGAAAAAAAAAAAAAAAACAGCGTAGCGATTAGTGTGCCGAATGTCCTCTCATTTCCGTGTCCTGAGGGAAAGACTTCAACCTTGAACCAACATTTCAACAATCAGTCCCCAGTTCACGCTCTCCCGTCCGTGAAAAGTAGCGAAGTTGTCGCAATCCTTGGCATCGTTGTCGATGGGAATCAGTGGGAGTTTAGACTATCCACAAATCCTTTTAGAGAGGCCCAACCGCTCGGATAAATAATTGTAGTTCCAACATGCCCAAGTTTTCCCAGCGCGCCTTTCGCAGCTTCCGCAACTCCGTTTGCGGTTTCCCGGTGGCAACTTGGGCGGTTTTCCCGTGTTCTTGGTTCCTCGTTGCCTACGTCTTGCCTGGTTTGCTGTCGGATTTTCATTGGTTTTGCGTTTTGCGGCGACTCCTGATTCCCGTGGAATAGCGGGCGGGAAGACATTTACAAGCGATCACGGCATAAATAGCCAATGACGAAGAAGGTACAACACTTAAATGCATACCACTGTAGAACGGAAGAACAATTGATCGAAAGGCATTGTGAGATATATGTAGATCAATAAGCGTGACGAAGAAGCTGCACGAGATGCATACGACCTGAGAAACGCCCCGGTGGTCTAGTTGGTAACCTCGTAACCTTCTAGAGGTCAGGTCAGCGGTTCGAATCCCGGCGTAGGCGAGCTTTTCTTGCAAAGTGAGTTTTTCTCTCGCTTCCGCTCCTGGCCAAGTGGATAGCGCTAGTTCGTGTGTACACAGAGGGAAGAGAGTGCTGAACTCTTCTCGCATAAAAAATTGAAGGCGAAGTACCGCAGGAGGGGAGGGTAGAGAGAGGCTCTTCTGTGTGACCACGGGTTGGAATAAACGTCACTAGTGCTGTGAGCGCTGATTTGAAGTGAAGAACAAAAAAACTAAATAATAAATAAATAATAAATAAATAACGAACAGCAGCGGACAACGCGCATGGAAGGAAGAAGCACAATTCCAGAACAGAAGGAAATAAAGCGATCTGGCATATTCGTAGCAGACCAAATGAACAGAGTGAACAACCCGCGTGGAAGGAAGCGCACCAATTACAGAAGGAAAGAGAGGGGTCTGGCTTAGCTGTGCTAGTAATGAGTGCCGTAAGCGTTACGAACAAGGTGCTGTATTTTGCCGAACAAAACACAGAGCAGGAGTAAAAAGCAAGATGGCGCGACGGACTAAAGGCGTGACCAAGGGAGCTAAGCAGCTTCTCTAGACAAGAGACTGATGAGACCCTGACGCGTAGGAGAGTGTGCTCGCCTCATCTCCTTCGGTGGCGGTGTCCAACCATCTACGTCAAGATTTCAACCATTGTATATGGTTGAGTGAGACGACCACACACCCCTTTTGTTCCGGGGGTCCATAGAGAGCAGGGGGCGTGCGCTTTTGGTGATTGGGACGGTGTCTCAAAGCTGGAGTTTGGGGGTACACAGCACGCTGACAGAGGGTATGCGCTGGGCAGTAAACTTCACAGGGTTTTGTTTGGGTTATAGGGTTAGGGTCTGCGTGCTCCCTCCCTGTCTCATTTCCCCATAAAATTTTATTTTCTGGCAAGGCGGTCCTCGCTGGGTGGGTGGGTGGGGCGGGGTCGCGAAGCTGAACCGGGAACCGGCGCCGCCCTCCCCGCGCGCGCGCGCGTAAAACAACCCCATGCTATCCAGGCGGGAAGGCCGAAGCGGGGAAAGATCCTGGAGAACGCGCTGGAGAAGGTCGGGGACACGCCGATGATCCGCATCAAGCACATCGCGCAGGAGGAAGGGCTGGAGTGCGAGCTCCTGGCGAAGTGCGAGTTCTTCAACGCCGGCGGAAGCATCAAGGTGCGTTTGATGCTGCGGGGGGATTTCGTTTTTTTTTTGTGTGTGTGTGTGTGTGCGTGGGTTGGGGCTTCGGGGACGGTTTTTTTTTCATTGCGTGCGTAGGTGGGGGTTGTGTGAGATGTGGTGTTTTCTCTTGATACCAGTGTAACGGTGTGCTTTTGTGTGCTCTTGTTGTGTGTAGGTGGGGGTCGTGTGAGACCTGGTGTTGTCTCTTGATAAAACATTGTTATTTTGTTTGCTCGTGATGGGCGTAGGTGGGGCTGTGAGATTTGGTGTATTTTGATAGAGCATCGCGCAAGCACACTTTGATCAGAAAGTCCACAAGGAAGTTAAACGTCATCACCCAGAGTAACCTCGATGCATAAACTATGGAGTGAGAGGTACAACTGCGTATCGTCTGCTCTCGGCGCGAAAATCTGGTTTTAGCTACTCATCATCTCCACGTGACCCACGTTTGCACAAGCATTTTGAAACACTCTTTTTGTCAAGTTTCGAAGGGTTTGCGACCACCAGAGCCCGTAGCGTCGAGACCATGGTAGGCATCCCCCCCACGGTGTGCAGCTTTCGGATTCCCCTCGATTTTTTGGTTCACCCAATCTGCGGCGCCTTCAAGACCTCGCCGCTCCGACCAACTTCCTCGCCACAGCTGTCATGGCTTTGTCTTCGGCCAATATGGCCAAGAGTGGAGGGACTTTTCCGGCCTGTTGTAGTATAGAACCCTGAAAACCTTGCTCCGCGAACGTCCCCCCCCCCCCGGTTTTAGGGCAGAAGACTATGGTTGGACCAAAATGTTGTTGGCAACAACTGTTGAAGTTCCGTTCCCATCTCAAGTGAAATTGGCGAAACTGAGGCCATGACAGAAAGCGGAAAGTTTAGTCGATCGTCATGGCAAATCTGCACAATAAAAATTTAGGTATTCGAAGGCGATGGGCATTTCCTTCCTCGGCTGTCACCGTTGCCGATAATTTGATTAATGAACTACAAGTATTACTCTCGAGGATTCGTGTTTTGCTGTGCGGCTGACGCTGTTGCCACTGTCGATGCTGCTGTCGTTTCCACCAGGACCGGATCGCGGTTCGGATGGTGGAAGACGCGGAGGCATCGGGACGGATCAAGGTACAGTAATGCCTACAGATATACAGTTTTGGAAATATGTTGGGGAGGGGCGAGGGGGGCAGCCGGTATTCCCCTTGTGTGGAATGTCGTGTGCGAGGAAAACCTTAACCCTTTTACTTCGGGCTCGTTGCAGAGACGCATCCCAGTGCAAGGTCTACAGATTCCGTTTCCCGTTCCTGTTCTTGTTCTTGTTCTTGTTCTTGTTGTTTGTTCGAGCAGCCGGGGGACACTCTGATCGAGCCTACTTCCGGGAACACGGGCATTGGCCTGGCGCTGGCATGCGCCATCAAGGGGTACCGATGCATCATCACCCTGCCCGAGAAGATGAGCAAGGAGAAGGTCAGCCGGTCGTTCATGGTACTGTAGTTCAGGGTGGGCGGCTCTCTATTGTGCTGGTTGAGTAGTGCCCGTTCATGGGAACGGAGTGCATCAGCAGTATGGGCTCTCTAGAATAGCGCCCGTTCATGAGAACGGAGTGCAAACAGTAGGGGGCTCTCCTAGAGTGCCGGTGAAATCTCTGGGCACAGCCAGAGCCCTCATTAGTGCCGGTCTAGCACTGCTGTCAAATAGTCTGTGTGGGCACTTGCGTACCCCTCAATAGTGCCGATTTGAGGTCACACACACCACACACATGCGTGTGCACACACAGGAATTGGATGGACATTATTGTCCAAGTTGGACATGGTCGTCCAACTCCCCTGACGGTAGAACCCTTTTGACTGAGGACCGTGCTGGCGTTTTTTTCCGCTACAAACGATTGGCGTATTTTCATCGGCCAGCCGCTTTCCGCGGTCGATGCTAATTGATGAGGTACACGCACAGAGCAAGAGTTTTGAGCCGGAGGACCTTCTGCGCGACAAACGCTGGAGGAACAGCAGGCACAGAGAGCTACGCAAAAGGAATGGTAGAGGTGTTGGCGAGGGTAGTAGTGCACACAAGAGGGAAATATGCAACAACAAGCCAAGAGGACAGAAACGAACTCTATAATAGTACAAAGTAACAGCCGCGGTAGATAGAATACGTGCGGGGTTCTTCCGCTTGCTACCGAACCCGGAGAGAAGCTCAGCCTCCCCCATGGCGCCCCCCTTATGGGGTCCCCAGATCATGGCCTCTAGAAAAAAATTCGGTCCAATCGTTGATCAGCCGGTTAGCGCGGTCCATGCTGGCAATACAGAGAGACACGCCGAGACAGACGCACTTAGCCCCGAGGCTTGACAGAGTATGTTGCAGCGACGGAGGTTGTTGGGACGGAGTGCTCGGGGGGGGGGTAGGGGTGCGTCAAGTTTCTCTGTGGTGTCGAGCGGATGCGAGTCTCATCTGTATTGTTAGCGCGCATAAGGGTGCGGGTACTCTTCCCCTCTTCCGGACGAGTACCCGTCCCCCCCTGGGTGTTTGGATAAACTTACGAGCTGTCTCCTGTGACTCA